TCATTACCCAGCCTGTATTTGACATACCCCACAGCAGCCTTGGGATCTTTCTCACACAACTGTGAAAACTGAGCACCTGGTCAGAGTTTCCCTTTTGCCCTGCATGCTTTAATTTTCTTCACATATCAGGAAACATGAACAGAGTTGTGTGTTTGGATCCAACCCAAGAAGGAGCTGGGACACAGCTAAGACATCCACTCATATCTACCACCTGGAAAATTAATTTACATTTTGCTGTTTAGAACACCTTGACTTTCTTGCATTATGTAGGTGTGGTATTTCCAAAAAAATGTCACTTGTGTTCCCATGCAACTCAAGTCTTGTATAAAGCTAAGGCTCAGAAGAATAGCAGTCCTGCTCCAATAACTGCAGCAGTATTTTCTTCTCTTTCACCAATCACAGGCAGGCACATAATACCTTATACCCTGCATATGACCCAGTTACTTCATCTGGTTGACTTAAGTTTCATGAATAAGACAAAACAATAAATAGAAAAGCCAAGGACAATAGTTCCTTATTTCCAAGTGACTGTTAGCAGTAACCCTAACAGTGCTGGATATAGATGAACAGTACAGGTAAGAAGTATCCATCTTCAGGCATTTAATCTCTTGTTATTTCTCTTCTATGGAGTTTGCAAATGGCAATGACACTCATACCTGGCCTAGTAGCTGGTGAATAAGCAAAATAAGCAGCTAGTTTTCAAATATTTGCTCTATTTTGTCTTCAAATTTTATACTGTTGGTGCCCAAGATAATTCACTTTATACTTCATATGCTGTTTTATGAATAAAGGGAACTCCTCTTTAGGAAGCCTGACAGTTCAGGAGAAGTCAGGTTCCTTTCTCTTTGTCTCACAATACCTCTACTACTATGTGAAGGAACAATGAAGAAAGGGAAGGAATATCTTCAGGTCACTCAGTGGTGTATCTGTAAAAAGACTGAGTTCACTTCTTCAAAAACAAGCATTCAAATGACAAAATACAGGATAAACAGAACCTGTGACATCAGCCTGGCAGAAGTATGACAAGGCTGTCTTCAAGGCAGAGAGGGCCCAACTCCAGAGCAGCATGGGGCACGCAAGCAGAGCAAGCAACATGACTGTCATCAAGACACCGGTAAGGAAAGTACCATTGGCACCGCAAAATTAATGTGTCTCATACACGCAGAGATCACTGTTCCCAGAAATAGCTTGAAAAAAGTGAAAAGAGTAAGTTACAAATTATTTTATCAGTTAAAGCTGTATAACCTTATCTGAATATTATGGATGCATTTCTGAGGCACTCATCACAAGGACAAAATAGTGCAAGACCACTGCAGTGTAGATTTCCCTTTTCCTTTTTATAGTCAGTGCAATATAAAGAATCACTAAGCTCTAAGAGGCCTGACCGTACACTTAAGTGAAAACTCCATCGCAACAAGGCAATTCAACCACTGCAGACAAATGTTAAAAAGTCAGGCTAATCTTGGTATTGAAGGGAAACTACTGTCCTCCAACTCTATAAATACATACTCTTAGGTGTTTAATCATGGCAGGATTTGCACTGGTATGCCATTGCTGCAAAGTAGAAAAGATAAGAAAGAAGAAATACAACTTTTGACAGCAAAATAAGGTATTAATATTTTTACTTCCACTGGAGTTAATAGCAAAACTTCCTGACCCTACTGAAGTCAACTGATTTTATACAAAACAAGAAGGTGAATCACTGAAATATCACCTGAAAAAGCACATAAGTATTACTGATTAAATAGCTTGTATTTAATAGGAAATGTCATTCCATGTCCACTGTTGGAATTTCAAAAATATTTTAGAAAATACTATCAGCTGTCACAACAGTCATCAGTACCATTTACATTTATAGAAACACTGACATCAATCCAGCTTACAAAAAAACCATAAGAAATGAAAAGTTCTAGCAAAGTTAGTCATGCCAGTCTTCCTTTAATTGCGCTCCAGCATCAGCCTGCAGATCTCGTCAGGAGACTTTAACAGTGGTCTTGTTAGTTGCTCCTTAGTTAATAAGACAACACTTGAAAGGTGCTCATAACACACTACAACACATTTCCTCTTGGTAGGATGTATTTTGATACTTAAGTAATGGAATTAAATGAAATTTACTGCAGTAAAGTGAGCATTCATTCTGTTTCTCCTGCTGTGATCCCATTCCCATTGCAAACAGGTCAACTTATTTAATTCCTTAAGCAAGTTAGGCAGGAGGAAAGATTTATTTTTGCACCAGTTTTAGTTCACACACAGTAAATGCAGCTATGTACAGCTCCTTATTTTTAAAGGCAAGGAGAAAGACAAATTTTGCTGCTGGTTCTTTTTAAAATTGCTCTGCTCCTGTTCAGACTTCTGATTGCACTGTAGCATGACTTTACACAGTTGTTTGTAAAACGAATTGTGTTCTAATATTTCCATTGTAAAGAATAACCTTTTCCTGTATTCTTCGTGTATTAAGTAACAATACAAAATTGCTTTTTACCTAATAAAACATTAAAGGAAAAAGGAAATGTCCTATTTCAAAAATTTCTACAAGTTCACATCTACCATAAGAGTGGTAGCACCCTTGTGAAACATGGTAGATTTTTTTGATAATAAAGATTATTAGCCAGGTAGATTTGAAACAACATCATTCTTCCTGGCAATTTAATAAAAACTCTTCAAATAAGACAGACAAGGATAGGCTTTGTGTTTAAAGTGCTCTTTATCTGACGCAGCAAATATTTGGCCGGTATCCTTTTGGTCTCTAAGTAGCACTTCACAGATGATTAAGGGCAGAGGGTGGGGGGCGGGGGAAAGCAGAACAAACTGTTCTAAGCAGTAACTCTTTGTGAAACAGACCTTAGTGCCAGGTGGTACAGTACTACCAGGGCATAAAACAAACCCAACCTTTGTGGCTGCAACATCACCATGCACAGATGTTCGTGCCACAGTCTGAAGAGAGGGCAGATGTTAGTGCCTGGGATTTGCAATCTCCTGCAGTTAGAAAGCAAGCTCAGGGACTAGAAAACTCACTGAAGGAAAAAGCAGCAATTAAATGAACGCACGGCGAATGTCCATGGGGCGGCCCCGACTGGGTCTAGGTGGAAACCTGTCATTGGGACCAGCTCGTCCTGGAAGTGTAGGGTTTGCTCCAGGCAAGGAACCAATTGGGTCAAAATGTGGTCTGAATGGAGGAAACTGGCCTGGGGCTTCTCCTGGGCCAGGAATGAGTGAGTTAATTGGGTCTCCAACATATGGAAGTGTTGGTCTCTCATCATATTCTCCACCAATGATCATTGGGGGATAGATTGGGTTTGATGGGAATGGGTTGGGAGGAAAGGGATTAGGATAGAATGGGTTGGGATGAAAGGGGATTGGATGAGGTGTAGGGGGCAGAAACATCATGTGCCTCCATCTCAAGGCCTCCTTCTTCTGTTTCAACTTTTTCTTGTACAGCTGCAGACAGAAACAAAGGCATTTTAAAGCTCTGTAAGTGCTTTGTGTTCCAGCTTCAGCAATTGCATTCAGTTCTGCAGTGCTTCTCAGAAACGCAATCCTCATCAGTGTCAAAATCCAGAACAGCAACTCCCCTGCCTGACAAACACCAAACACAGCATCTCTGGAAGACCTCTAACCCACAATATGGGCATGCATCATGTAACTTGTTGATGCTGCTTTCTTCTGCTCTGACCAAATTTAACATGTGTACACAGAACACCACACTTTTAAACTCAATTTTAACTCAAAGTTACTGCCTCCCAAAGTCTATGTTTTATCCTCAAATTAGCCCATGGTGACTAATCTGAGAGATTACATTAAAAAGTCACTTACTTCTTTCCAGTCTGTGTCACGAGGCCTTGCAATAGGATCTACAAAGAGAAACAAAAAATTCAGAGTGGCAATCTATTTTATTTTTAAGTAGCATGCACGCCACAGACACCCACAGTTTTCAGTCAGAATTTGCAAAAGAATCAAGAGATGAAAAAACAGTTTTGGTCAATACATTTTTCATAAAGATAATGCATCTTAAAAAATATAAAGCTTCAGGACCATTCAATAGGTAATTTACTTGCACACTCATTCTACATAAAGCATCATCTCCAAAAGTTACTAAGGAGAGAAATCCCAGAAAAACTGTCTCTATCTTTGACTTCTGACAGCACTCCCCTTAATCACCTTATTTCTTCAATCTCTTGTGAGAAACCACAACAGGAATATCTCTTCCCTTGACTTCCTAATATCTGCAATAGCCAGTACACTAAGGTAGCCAGGAAAACAGATGAAAACAAGGGAAGTCTGCACCGCACAATGGGAAGAACTACATGGTCCATCAGTAATGGCTCAGCAGATTGTCATTAGTTTTCATGTCAGAAAACTGCACATCCACCCGAATTACATCTGACCAACTGTACTGGTTAGCATCACAAATAGCTGCATTTACTCACTGTGTTTAAAAAAAAAAAACAAACCAAGTTCTAACATGATTGCCTGAGGAGCCTCTTATCAAAATCTGTCAGACCTAATCCCCCTGTTCACATGAGAATGTAATCAGAAAAACATCTCTTCCAACATTACCTCGGAAATCTCGCAGATACATAAACCTCCACAGGAGCTGGTCGTTTGAAGCTGTGTAAAGATCACGGCAAACAGCAGAAAGAGAAATGAGTGAACGGACATCCAGAAGTCTGAAAATCCGAAGCTTGAGCTCAAGAGGAAGGACCACTAACCCAAAAACGTCTGGTAAGTTCAGAGCTACAAAGTGAAGAAAACAGAAGCATTACTTAAGTGGTGCAGAGCTTACTCTACCTCTAAAGACCTTAAAAGAAAGAAAGGACATTATAATTTTTCCCTTAAATAATTTCCCTTTGATGCCTGAGTTAACACTACTTTTCTCAGAACGTACTGTCACGTGACTTCTTATAAAACAGATCTCTTGCAACTCTAAGTACATTTATGGAGTGCACAAAACAGGGCAAAGGGCACTTTATACCGACCACTATTGGCCACTGTAAGCCTAAGAAACATTCCACACACCTAACTATGTTTATAGGCTACAGAACAAAGGAATAGGTCAAGAAAATAATACCTGCCCAATTTCATGACTCCACAAAAAACACATGAAATACAAAGCACATGCTTCACATAAAACCTGCCCGCACTGAAGTCTACAGGGAATTCCACTGAACAGCCTTCAGAGTACAAAGCTGAGACCTTTTATGGCAATACCTATGCAGAGAAAGCCTGGCTTCCTACTGCTCCACAAACACCAGCTTGGGTTACTTCCTACCATCCTTTCCAAGCCCTCAATGACCAGTTACTGAGAAGATCATTCCTGGGGTTAGACTTCCAAATATGATGCCATATAAATTTTTCTGCTTTGACAAAGAAATGGATCAAAACTACAGAACTACTGCCACAAAAGTACTGTGGTATGATTTTCTCATCACTAAGTGTGGAAAACAGCCACACTTCAGTCTCTTAAGTGAGCCTAGAACAATCAAAAATTAAAACCAAGAAATTATCATTATATTAACATTTTCTGGGATATAAAGATAAATACAGTTTATTTAGAATGTATAGATTACTTTATGCTTACTCTTTATATACCCATCACTGAAGAGCTGTTTCTAACTCTTTTCCTTCAAGGCTTTAGAAAGACTCTCTTCCTTCCATCCTCAAAAATGAAGTACAATCTCTAATGCTAAATATTTTCTCTCACCTTGTCGGGCAGCAGCCAGAAGAGAGTAAACGAGCTGGTCTTTAAAGAGACGAGATAGTTTCTGAAGGTCTTTGTAAACACCTGCAACTTTTTCTGTCAAAGGAAAGAGGTAAAAAGCTTAACTTCAGGAGGTTGCAATGCAAAAATTATTAAAAAGCAGAAGAATTATGCTTTTCTTATAAGCAGAACTGTAATCTGCTTGTAATCTTGATGGGAGCAGCTCTGCAGCTAGAGCGTAACAACCATGCAATACGTAATTCATCAACAAACTACAGACCAGTTCCATGGACAGCTCAGCCTAGGCTTTCCTTTGTCCTTAAAAAGGCACCACTAAGAGAAATGCTTGAGTTCTTCAGAAACAAACTGACTCTCAAGCTGTCAGAGTTTCCTTTGTCAGATTTCAAGTCTCATGTGTAACATGCACCCACATTGTAGATGCTTGCAATATTAATTTTTCTGACAGGAACGTTTTTCCATGCTGTTCTCTAAAGAAACAGGATCCAGAAAACTACCGTTACATCGGACACATTTCAGTGCCCAGTTATTCTTTGAAAGCCTTTTGACTAGACTCGTACATCAGCAACTGGGGCTACCCAGGACACAGTGTAGGAAACCAAGTCAGCTTCAACTGCCAACAAAGCAGATCACACACACTTCAGAGAACAAAAGGCTAGTCAGGTCTGTGGTCACAAGGATCCACATCTATCTGCCCTTCTCTCCTCCCCCGCCTTAGTTTTCCTCTGATTTTGGCATTCCGGAGAGAGCTACGTGGTCAGCACATGTTTTCTGACAAAAAGAATATAGCAATTATGGTGCCACAACAAGAGTGCGGGTTCCATCAGCCTCTGAAGTCCTGAAATGACAGGCAGAAAGGGGATATAATCCAGCATTGCTGCCCCAGAGATTCACACATATGCCTAGGACCTCATAAATAACAGGCATATGGGCCAAAGGATGACACAGGCTTTGCAAGGTTCTTTCCTCACAGAGCCCAAAAAATTCAAACTGTTTCAACAGCAAAACATGAGTAAATGGCTACACTCTGAATTCCTTTTACCACAAAGCTATGACTCACCTAAATGGTAACACTTTTATTCTTCTTTGCTATTCTTTACGTATCAGGGTATAATCTTACCCACTATGTGACTTCCTCTCTTTTCAGTTTACTACTAGGAATATCAAAGCTCAATCGTACCTGGCTCCTGAAAGCAAACAAAGGATGCTGGCAGCAGCTGTATTCTCTTAACGCCTTTAATCTCTTTGTTGATTTTTAATGTTGCTGCAAATATAAGGGGGGGCGGGGGGAGAAAGACATTTCAAAATTTAAAACACATAGAGAGATAACAAAGATCACTACACTAGTGCCTGATTCTTTGTAGGTGTTGTACTAAAAATAAAATGGAACTTAAAATAGCAGGGAATAAACAAAGATCTTGGAAACAAAAAACAAGCATTGCCCTCAACAATTCTATCATGAGGGAAGAGATGTAACACAGCTAGAACAGGTACACAACAAGCCATTACTATAACACAGTCATTAAAAAAATACTAACTAAAGATAGATGCAACAAGCTTACTATGTGAACGCTACATGCATGGTAGTTATAACACTGTCCTAAATCTAACCTTAACCTGACTTGGTCAAAACATTTTATGAGAATGTGTACACATTCTGAGAAAACATACGTGCTTATTGGCATAATCAGTTACAAGTTTTACAAGTAAACATTAAAATTTTAATCAAAGATATCTTGAAATTACAACCAACTCCAAATTTAACATTGGTTCTGCAAAAACATGGAATTGCTCAAATGCTAAATAAAATCTAAAAAAAAAGAAAGAAACAAGCAAACAAAAAAACAAACAGAAAACCTCAAAAAACCCACCAAGTGGCAGTTGCTTCAAGAAATTAAGACTTCTAAAGAAGACTAAATTTTCAGGACTGAATAGCTTAAATACAATTTTTAGTGATACCAGTTAAACTGTTAGTGTGCTACAGTTTTGTATGTAAAACTGTGCTACAGTTTTAATGTTTGTCAATGTATACCAATGTTCCTATGAAATGAGACAAGAAACAGATTTCTACAACATTGCAATGAAAAGGCTAGCTGAATCCCCCCCTAAGGATTGATCTGTTATGATTAGAGGGAGAGAAACAGTTAACAGGGAGACAGGAAATGCCAAGAATATTCAGGACCAGGAAGCGCATCTCTTGTGCCTCAGCAACCTGGATAATCAAGGTGCAGTTCTAAACAGAGCACACAAAAGCACATTTAAGTTTTTGATTGCTAAACAGTGGTGATATTTAGCAACATGCATCTAGGATAAGAACTTCACTGACTTACCATTAATAGCAACAAGATCTCCCAAAGGCACACAAGTCAAACCAGCAGAACCTTCTTCGCAAAGGGGATGTGTGTACTGTAGCTTATAAACACCATTCCCTCTCCATTTCTCCGGCATAGACACTGCCTTGGCTTCTGTTCCCTAAGAACACACAGAGATAACACTGCTGTACCTCAGTAATGTACCAGGACTAACGGCTGAAAAAGAGAATTAAAAGTTAGGAACTACCAGAATGCTGCTGGCAATTCAAATCTTTAGTCTCAATGCACATTATGACACAGACTATAATTGTATGATTATATACTAATTTCCCCAAGACTATCAGCAAATCTAAGGAGAAGTTTAGTAATTTTTTGTCCTGTCCCAGTTCCTGACATGGAAGGTTGTTCAATGAGCAGACTCACACCTATTTCTGAGACACGTACTTCATTCTGTCATTTATCCCAGCACTTTGACAACTCCAGCATGTACATTAATTAACTGCATTAAAAACACCTTATTGCACCTTTTCCGTGAACTTATGAGGTCTGACAGGGCTTGAAGAATAATAGCTTGAAATCCATTCAAAAATCTGAGTGGACTGACAGTTCCTCCTTTCACTTTCTATGAAAAGTACAGGCAGACTCTCTTTCCTCTTAAATCTGCACAGCAATCTTCCCTACTTCCAAGCCTACTGATTGAGATACAGGAAATTTCTTCCCAGTGGCAAATATATTCTTCAGATAGTATTTCAGGCTATGGGAATGCAATTAACTTTGCAGATTTATTAAATTGGTACTGGTCAACCAGACACCTGAACTGACCCCCTACATGTGCTTAGTTAGCCTCACCACAAGAAAAAACATGAGAATTTGAACACTTTCCTTGAGAGAAATTTTTTTTTGCATGTTTAGCCACATATTAGTAAACACACAATGCAAACCTGAAAATCTAAAGGGAAAAGGGGAATTCATACATTGTACAGAGGTACTGCCATAGGTGCTTGAGTACGATACCTCTGCAGGTCACTGGAACCAAAGCCTAACTGAACTCAGTTGAAGTTAATACAGAACTGGAGACAGTTAACACACAATTTCCCAGACACAGGACCTAGGCCTTGCTAACCACCATTTGAACAGGATACCATCGGGATCATACGGATGCTTAAGGCAGCACTTCAAAGTGCTACGACCTAAGCACATCAACACAAGCTCAATAGTATAAAGCAGAAACAGGAGGTTATCAGCTGGGTCCCAGTGAGGCTGAGGACTGAAAGAAACAGAGGGACAGGCCTCTCACAGGGAAGAGCTGCTCTAGTCTTTAGCCTTAAGGCTTACTTGTCAGGCAAATTAGAGAAGCTGATACTTCAGCAGCCCTTGCTGCTGACTAACACATACAAAGCCAGAAGCAGATCTTCAGATGCACCGTCTATCACACATTCCCACAATACTCCACAGCTTTCTCATACTGACCAAGAAGTTTCCTGACTGGTTGTGCACCTACCTGAGGCACATAGCCTGTCTCCATCATGAGAAGATGTAGTAGAACAATCAAGGCATCAGTGGCGCTGGTACACTCAGCAGAAAGGTAGAGCATCTCTAAGGAATGTGGTATCTCACCATCAGCAGCTTCACTGCACAGCATGGGTTCAGAGGGATAGGAACCTGTACCTTCTTCCAGGTCAACATCTTCTTGGACTAATCCAGAAGGAAACTCTAGGCTGGATCCTGCCTTCAAGGGATAGCAAAAATATACCTTTATTCAGAAAATTACACCTCCATATATACCAGTATTATTCACCTGCTTACTCCAGTCCTCATGGGCACCAAGTCTCTACTGCTGATTTCCTTGCAAGTTTTACAGACTCATTTCATCACCATTTTCTAACATCCCAGTTGGAGACTGGGATTATACACACAGCCTCTCTATTTTTTTATATTTATAATGGAAGCCCTTCATAAAAGGGTCAGTTATTTTATTGCATATATTACTTGAAGTGATAAAATATTAATCTTTCATAAGAATTTTCACAACACACACCATGGCACTAGGCTGTACCTGCAGAGTCTCCTCTAGGGAGACTCCACTCACCACAGGACCCAGCAGTTCATGGGCACTGTTATCTGTTTAATTATTGTATGTACTGTCACAAGGGAAACAAACCACCAAGTAATGTGGAAAAACCACACCTATTAGCTGCATGAAGCATATGAGGTCCTATAGATGCACACCTACGAAGCATGAGGCAGGAGCTATCTCAGCAACACAACCTCCATGCACAAGACAGACAGGTCTCACTCTGTGGCAGGCCATCTGAATCACAGGGAACTGTTATAACCCATTAGAATGGAATCATGCACTCATCTTCTGAGTGGAGTTTATGGCAGGCAGGGCCTGTTGCATTTGTTCACTACCTAGAATCAGTTTTCTTGAGAATACAGCACAGAGGCAGGTTAAGAAACATACTCCTAACTTCCTTAAGGAAAGTGCATGTTCCAGCAAAGAAATTAAATCCTATAAAAACATCAGACCTGAAACATCTCTGCTTCTGTGTCACAGCTAATATACAATGATTAGAGACGTATTTCCAGCCAAATAACTGGCTATATATCAGACAAGTTTAAGGAGAGAAATATTCTGAAAAGATCCTCTACTATACAGTACAGCAACTGACAGAACAGGATACCTTCTTTTTTGCCTGGTGTTGGACAGGGCAATTCTCATGTACTTACCCTCTCATCACTCTTTTGAACTTCCACCTGAGATTTCTGGTTGTCAGACTGCTCATTCTGCCTTTCTTCTGTTGGGCTGTCAGCCTGACTCTTCTTGGGGATCAAGGTGGACGGCTCATGACCATTCTGAAGTGAGGGAGGAGCAGAAGGAGGAGGAGGTAGGTTGGGTTGTCCGTCTGCTTCCTCTAGTAATAAGCATATCAAATCACCAGAAACAATCCCATATGAAGCCAAGGTCTTCTCATCTTCTGTAAGAGCATCTTTTCTGTTCAATGTTATTGAAAACTTGGTATCGAACTGCAAAAACAGGAGAAAAAAAAAAAAAAGGAAACATGTTTGGCTGTACCTCAGCACACAGAGGTATGGTTAGAAAAGCATACTGCATACTACAATAGTACTATGCCATGGGTTTTGATCCATTAATAGTTACTTATTATTAAAGGGAAAATGAGGAAAAAAAAAATAGTATGAAGTTATTTCCCTCATGTTTCTCTCCAAGTACGTTTTAAGTAGCCACAGCTGCTTGGCAGGTACAACTTCATTTACAGTAAATGCTCACAAAACAGTTATGAAGGAAAGCAAATAAATGCCCTCCAAATTAGAAGACCACACCTAGCAAAACAAGCTTTAAACAAACTACTGGCTGAGGTTATTTATTTAAAAACAAGACAGTGTTGCACTCAACCATCTTCCTCTCTGTTTAAGCAAAACATTCAATTGCTATTTGCAAATCAGGGCAATAAGAAAAAATGCTTCAGGGCAAGTGCTCACAAAAACAAACCAAATAGAAATGAACTGGTTAGCAGGGAAGCAGCTTTAAAACGCACCCACTGTGGCAAGGCAAGGCAAGCAGTAACTCCAGGTGTCTCCTGCCCACTCTGCCACGCAGCACAGCGCGGTGCTATCCAATGCGCATTCACCAGTGAAACGTGAGTACAGTGAAGCTAATTAGAGGCCTGGGAACACAAACCCTTCAGCCACCATCCGAAAATGAGCCCCTTCTGTACAAGTTTCTTAAACTGATCTCGCAGACTGTTCTCTCCAGCAAAGGCTTCACAGAGAAAGCGTTGATGAAATTTTAACCCCGAGAGACCCCAGCAAACCTGCAAAACTACCTGACCATCACCCCGCAGCTGCTTCTGTAACGTTAAGGCCACACGGAAACCCCAGCCAGCTCCGGTTGAGCCGCAGCCCCGACTGCACAGCTCAGACCCCCGGAGTAGGGCGGGCTGTCCCGTCCC